TTTCAATGCTCCAGTAGTCCTCCTCGCCTATGGGCCCCTACCTCTCGCCTTTGGGCGCCTATCTCCTCGCCTTGGGCATCTACTTTTGCCATGGGCACCTGTCTCATCGCCTTGGGCGCCCACCTCGACCACATGGGTGTCGCCCAAAGCATCTCCATAAGAGTCTTTGATGATATCAAGGGCATGGACTCCTCCTCGTTTCTCTCCTCCACAACTGCTTGAACCCCTAGTTCCCATGAACTTGTTATGGTACCGAAGAAAATACAAGAAAAATTCGACTTACTCAGGTGAAGTTGTAGCACATGCCCACAATCCCTTCCTCTCACCGAAAGTCAGAGGCTTGGGGCATGGGGGGCAAATAACGAGCCTGAATTTTACTAGGCCAAGCCCAATTTAGATAAATCGAAAAAGCCCAAAGAAGTGTCCATTGTCGACCCACTGAGGAGGACACCAAGAGGATAGCACCAAAAGCCAACGGCCGAAAGAGGAGGAGGACAAGGGAGCCCTTAGGCGCCACCCATGGCAGCCTTGGACGCCGCCGGCTAGCTCCTTGGGCGCCTCCCTCTACGCTCCTCCTCACCTTGGTACTCGAGGTCCAGGTCCAAGACAAGTCTAGGTCCAGGTCCAACTAATGTTGTCGTCCAGATGAATAGGAGCATGAGGGAAGATAATAGGGAGATAGATATAGAAGATCTCCTACCATAGCAATACTTTTCAAAGTAATAGAATTCTTCTCCCTCACGTCACCGCCTCTGCTACCTTACTCTAGCTATATAATGTAAGTCCTCTCAACATTTATGGCACGGCTCCAACACCTCCAAAGACCTTCTTGAGACCTCTACACCTCAAAAGCCTCCAAAACCTCTACACCCACTCTTATACACATTGATTTCTCTCTGTCTCCCCAAAAGTACTGTATCTCTTCGGAGTACTATCATTCATCAACATCAATAAAGAACATAGGCCGCTGTTGCCATTCCTCAGAGTGGACATAAGTCACCCGAACCGAACCACTATAAATCCCTGTGTTTATCTATTATTTACTGTTTTACTCTTAATTTTCATTGATTGCTTGTTTGTCACTCATTAATTGCACCCTTACACATACTTGACTGTTGATCTTGCACAAGACAATTTTGTGCATCATCAGTTTTTACTTAAATGTACCACATTAACGCAGCAGATATGCTATTCAGAATTTGAAATACCAGAAGGACAAGAACTTTTGCAAAACTGAGCAAGGAAGTTATGTTTTCAGGTATGAAAACTTTCCTTTGTTTTTGTTGGGGTTTTCGTATTTTGTACCCGAAAAGATTTCAAGATTTTTATTTTATATCTTTAAAAGCTAAATTTACATATTATACCCTCAATTTATCAATATAGTCATTCTGTTAACTTCCATTCTTCTTTTTGTCAAAAGTCAATCCATGGATACGACCGAAAAAATTAACAGAAGGGTCACATTACAATACTTTTGATATATTTAGTATATATGTGTAAAACTTAATTTTAAGGATACAAAGTAAGAATTTTAAAATTTTTAAGGGTATACAGTGCAATTCAACCCCCCCCCCCTTTTGTTGACAAACAAAATCACCCCAGCCATTAAAGCCTTTACCCACTTCTAATTTTCTAAATTTTACCAAAAGAATTCTCATAATATTATAGTTAGGAAATTTCAAATAAAGATGGCCAATAAACACACTTTTGCTCTAAACTTATGCTATTCTCTTAAGTCCATTTGGTTAAAAAGAAAAGAATAATGAAAAGTGAGAGTGAAGTAAAGAAAAAAAACCGAAATAATATATATTTTCATGTATATATTTGATTAACATGAAAAATTTAAAAGAAAGTTTAAAAAAAATTCATTCTATTATTTGAAAAGAAAAAAATTGTATTATTGGTTAAGCAATGTTGTCGTCCATTGACACCTCATGAAAGAGGATAATGTTTCAACAGAGAAGACCACAAGGAATAATTTGATCTCTCTCTCTCCTTGCTCTTCCTCTCTCCCTCTCCCTGTCTGCCCTCTCTAAATGTACGGACAAATAATGTGTGTAAAATTGAGGTACAGTTTGAATGTCATTATCTTAAAATGGTTGTCATGTTTCTTTTAAAAACAGTTTTAAACATGTAACTGATTTTGTTTTTTTATTTTTTATTTTTGAACATGAACATGGAATTGAATGCAAGGCTTATATAATGCTTTCATCATTGCGGATCACAGTGAGATGAATAGCAAATAAATACGGAAAAACACCATTCACAGCCTTACCATGATTGTTGTTCCCCCGATTTGTAATTAATTGGAGGATTTTTAATTTTTCCTTTCCAGCTGGAGGGAATGGGACTCCTCCGTCGAGATGATGGGTGATGCCCCCTTGGTCGAGCATTAATTGGATCATCTACTGGTTTTGTTTCACTAACAGTTGCATAGTTTGTAGAAGCTGCTACTATTGTCCAACGGTGAGAGGCACCGTGGCAGAGGGTTCTGAAGGTGGGAGGGGAGGTGGTGCGCAGGGTTGTTGTCTCCCAGTTGATGAGACCTTGTTTGGGTCATGATTGCCATGGATTGCAAGAAGGTTGAAAGGTAGTAGAAAATTTATCGTTTCCCACAGACGACATCAAACTGATGATGCACAAAATTATCTTGTGCAAGATCAACAGTCAAGTATGTGTAAGGGTACAATTAATGAGTGACAAACAAGCAATCAATGACAAGTAAGAAGAAAATAGTAAATAATAGATAAACACAGGAATTTATAGTGGTTCGGTCTGGGTGACCTACGTCCACTCTCGAGAATGGCAGCGGCTGCCTGTGTTTTTTATTGATGTTAATGAATGATAGTACTCCGGAGAGATACAGTGCTTGTGGGGAGACAGAGAGAAAGCAGTGTGTATAAGAGTGGGTGTAGAGGTCTTGGAGGCCTTTGAGGTGTAGAGGTCTCAAGAAGGTCCTTGGAGGCATTGGAAGTGTTGGAGTCGTGCCCTCAATGTTGAGAGGGCTTAAATTATATAGCTAGGGTAAGGTAGCAGAGGCGGTGACGTGAGGGAGAAGAATTCTATTACTTTGGCAAGTATTGCTATGGTAGGAGATCTTCTATATCTATTTCCATATTATCTTCTCTCGTGCTCCTATTCATTCGGAGGAGAATATTAGTTGGACCTGAACCTAGACCTGGACTTGTCTTGAACCTGGACTTGGACCTCGATTTGTCTTGAACCTGGACCTGGAGTACCAAGGTGAGGAGGAGCGAAGAGGGAGGCGCCTAAGGGGCCAGCCCAGGCGGCGCCCATGGGGCCAGCCTAGGAGACGCCCAAGGGGCTGCCATGGGCGGCACCCAAGGGGCCAACCTAGGAGGCGCCCAAGGGCTCCATTGTCCTGCTCCTCCTTCGGCCATTGGCTTTTGGTGCTGTCCTTCTCGGTCGGTCAACAATGGACGCTTCTTTGGGCTTTCTCGATTTATCTAAATTGGGCTTGGTCCAGTAAAATTCGAGTTCATCAGAAAAAGTTAAGTTATAATAATAATTCGGTGTAGTTCGAAGTCAATCCACATGGAATGAGTAAATTGAATTATAATGCAATGAAAAATAAGTTTCATAAAAAGTAGAAATGTTTAGAAAGCAGTTGTAAAAAAATAAATTAATGGTAAACAATAATTGAAAAATATTTTTTTTGCTCCGGGATCTGGATTTGATCAATTTACTAGAATTTACGTAATATTGATTATCTCGGTTAATTTTCAACATCAATGTAGTTAACCTGAAAATATTTTTTGAAAGATCAAATTAAATTAATTGATTTGAAAATAAAATTTGAAGAACTAATTAAAATATTTATTGAGAATTATAAGTATTACCCATACCAAGAAATCAATCATATTGATGATTAATCAATTAATTGAATAAAATATCAAATTTTACTAAGAACATTCAATGAATCAAATAAATAAAAGATTTAACATTGATATCAAAATACAAATTGCATGAACAGAAATATCTGTATAAATAATTACAAATCTGTCAACCCTAATTAAAGAGTACAAAATGATTACTAACAATCTCTGGCTATTCCTCCAGGAATTGTGATAAAAAAAAAAAATACATATATCAAACTAGGTTAAACAACTTCTGGGCTAGGAAGAAGAACAAATCACATTTCAATAGCATGCAAATATATTTATAATAAAGTATTTGTACAAGTCAATGTGGATCAAGTTTCCTTCAAACCGACTTAACTTCCTTCACGGATTAATCCAAAATAGCGAAGGATCGATCCACGTAAAGTAGTCTTCAATTCAACAACAAACAAGCAAGGATTGATTCCCAAAGTAGGGATCGATCCTTACAATATTGTCATGGTTTTTGGATACCTCCGTGGATCATGCTTCTTGTTCCCTTCTGACTTTCTATCCGAGCTTTAATCTTCTCGTGGAATTAACTCTCAGATATATATATATATATATATATTTTTCTCATGTTTGATATGTAACATATATACATTTAGGACTCATACATATATCATAATTATTAATAACTATTTATTTTATAAATGACTATTTTACCTTTGATCAATTCAATTCATACATATGTTAAGGGTACAATTGTCTTTTGAATCCTTAAACCTTTACTCATCTTCTTAAATTCACTCCTTCCCTAGGTTAGACGAAACTCATGATTATGGGTTTAACCTTCGGGCTAACTAAGGATCGGGTTTAAAAACCCGGGACTGAATTTTTTAGGGGCTTAGGGAGACCGGTACCTCCCGAAAAACTTAATAGGATAAAAATACACTTTCTAAAGTAATTGGAATAGAAGTACATGTGCTAAAAAAAAGTCTTAAAACCTCTTTTACCCTTACTATAAATAGTGAATATCTACTTGAATGTGAGATTTTTAAGATTCTTTTAATATTTGTGTATCATTTGAAGTTTGAAATTTATATATATATATATATATAAACACACACACACGTAATACAGTAACATCAAACAGTGACATGCTCAACAAAAAAAGAATAACATTAAACGATAACACGTTCGAGCACGAATTATCCTTAGTTGACTTATACAGTAGAATTGAAGATGCCAGCAAAATGGGAGGATCTGGGTAATTCAATTATCATTCTTGACGCCCCTGACCAATAGGTCTCAAATCTTCAAGTCTAGGTCAAACCCAACAAGATGAAAATGCAAGTTAAACATTTTAAACCAAGCATGTTCTCAGAAAATAAGAAATACACCAACCAACACTTGCGTTCTCTTTTTAGTCGAACATCTTCAATGGAGCTGGTATAAACTGCTTGCATTTTTTTTTTGGTTCATCAGCATCGACGACTTCGTACTCCGGTGGTTATTTTTCTACAGTTCCTTGTAGTCCTATCAGCAATCTTCTTCCTTTTCATCCTCTTTGCTTCCTTTTCAGATCCACTACATTTATCTTCCTCGATATCATGTTCTTTAAACTTCTTTCGCTTTAGGAAATTAACTACTTCACCGAGAGCAATACGAGCATTGTCGCTCTTCATTAGCTCCCCAGCAATTTCTGCAGGGGTCACCTGTACATCCTCAATTAGGCCTTTGATCTCACCATAGAGCTTGTGGTGACCGTTGATGCCAAGGTAGTTGGACGCCAAGACCTTAAATCCTTGAGTTGTACAGTAAGGCATGTGAATGAACATGTCCATTCGACCCGATCGCAGCAGAGCAGGATCAAGACGGTCCTTGTAGTTAGTTGTGAAAATAATGATTCGTTCATCTCCACAACTCGACCACAATCCATCTATGAAGTTCAATAGCCCCGACAGTGTTAACTGCATGAAGAAGAAATTAGGCCTAACATTCTAGCTACGGGATGCAGAATAAATCAAATTTGGATGTTACTCCAACAAGTGAATCTATTAGATTTGTCAGATATTTTTAAACTAGTCATAATAACTCGTGTCTGAAAGCACGATAAAATATAAAATTAGAGCGTCTAAAAAAGCGATCCCATTATATTAATTTTTTTAAAAATATATTAATTACAAATTAATCAAATATTCAATGATTAAATATATGATAAAAATAAATAATGTGATATTTTTAGGGAATAAATATATAAATTATTAAACATATGATAGAAATTAGTGATGTTATTTGACGTTTGAGTCTGACAAAAGGATGATGAGTGAGATAAGTAATTGAAAATGATTTTAGGAAAAAAATATGATTGAGACAAAATTCAAACACATTCCTATTTTATTATATAGATAAATAGATCGATACAAATCGACAAAACATAGTTGACGAGATAGAACTCGTCTGTAAACAATTAACAATTAGTTAAGGAACTAAATTTTGCAATGACATAATTTGGAAGAGTAAGGAATAGTGACCTACCTAATTCAACCTAGTTTTTAAATTAATTATGAGTTTCAATGAGTGCATTAAGTTAGATGTACAGATTAGGTCCCTACATTAATTACAAATACTATTTATTGAAAAACAACTAGAGTAATGCTATTGAAATCTAAAAAATTAATCTAATTTATTGACATGATGATGTATTAAGTGATATAGTCTCAATAAAGAAGCCTGATTTATTCATTATAATTTTTAAATCGACTCTAAATTTGGTCCGCATAGTATTACTATTCCATTAAACATTAAAATTTAAAATTTATTCAACAATTATAAAAAAATTACATTATTAAGTCAGATTTTGAAATTTCATTAATATTCCTTGAAAGAAAAGAAAACTAACCTTCTTGTTGTAGGAGCCATTCCCCAACTGCCGGTTTCGCAACTCGACACTGCAATCGATGTCCTCTATGACAAGGATCGATCGATTCGTAGTGGTCGCCAAAATTCTCCTCAAATCCGCGTTTGTCTTCACACTGGTAAGCTCCAAGTCATATATATCATAATTCAAGTAATTTGCCATGGCTGCAACCAGGCTCGATTTCCCAGTCCCTGGAGGCCCATACAACAAGTATCCCCTCTTCCAAGGCTTCCCAACCGTCTTGTAAAATTCTTCTCTGCTCACAAATTTGTCCAAATCCTTGATTATCGCCTTCTTCGTCTTTTCCTCTATAGCAAGAGTTTCAAACGTTGCCGGATGCTCAAAATTGATCGAACCCCAATTCCTTCCAATTTCGCCATAATCATCAGACAGATTCATAGCATAGAGCTTCCTCACCTTGTCATTATTCGTTATCTTTTGGTACTCCTCCAGAACAAAGGGTAAATACCCGTCCAACACTTTTTCTTTGAACTTCTTGTGAAAAGTGAGCTCAAAGAATTTTTTATCTGCCTTATTCGGGTTCTGAGACTCAGCGATGGCGAATCTCCATTTTAGTTGAACGTTCTGGTATATATCGACGATCTCTTGGTTGTTCTCGATGCTGCTGTTGAGTTTTTTCTCTCTCTTAGTTTTGTGAACTGCGAATCGCTTGGTGTCGGGGCTGATTTTCGTACCGAGGTATGTCTCCGCGGCTTCGTAGAGTTCATTACGAGTTATTCTTCCACGGAACTCGTGGATGACAATGGTGCGCCGAGTGGAGGATAGAGAGATGAGGTAGCCAATGGCAGATTTGAAGTAATATTGGGCCGGGTCGAGGATGATGTTATTAACCATCGACGCGGTCAGAGACAATACAGTTGGCGGCGATGACATTTCGGAGAAGCCAAACAATTTTCAGATCGGAGATTGGAATTTGAGAATCAGAACTCGGTAATTTGCTTGTGTGTGACTTCTGATTGGGGTTTGATAAACCTCAACTTAAATAGATACACAAGAGCGAGCGAGAGAGAGAGAGATAGATAGAATTCCAAACGAAGCCTACAAGGAAAGAATGGCAGCAACTGAGTCGGAATGTTCCCGGAAATCAGCTTTGAGACTATCATGCGCCTAGGATTGAATTTTGTTCCAAATTTTATTTGAAACCGACTATTTAGATATTGACTGTTTTTTTTATCAATTATCTAAATCTATTGGTGCTATTTTTTTTCGGTAAGTAATCTATCGGTTAGTTTTGAGGGAACAACTGATTCAGAATGTTCCCCGAAATACGTGATGAAGATGAGGTAGACCATGGAAGATAGGAGTTGAGTACTGTATAAAAACATAATTTCGGTATCGTTTTTAACTTTTACCACATTAATGTATGTTTTCGTAATTTTTATGGTCATTGTACGATCTGTTAGAGTATTTTAATAAAAGTAGAATTTATGTGAGAAACTCAATCTCACTAGAAATATTTGACTATATATATATATATATAATCTAGTCATTAAGTTAAGTAAAACCTTGAAACTCAATCATATAACAAATAACTTTTCTATTAAAGTAATAATATCAAACTCACTTTCTATTATTTTATTTTATTAATTTTATAATAACTTCCTTATTAAAAATACAATTTCTAAATATTTAAGGTCTAACGACTAGTTTTTCAACAATCTATTTTCTATTAAATTCAAACAATTATTATTTGATTAAATATGGAAGTTATTGCAGAATGACGACAATCAATTTTTTTGTATATTTAGATATTTCAGAATGGAAAAATGTACTTCTATATTGTTCACTATTTATTTTTTGAACAATATATAAAGGTGTTATGTGAAACTTCGGTTTCATTCAATTTTACATATTTGAGTGAAATAACAATCAATTAAACACTCGAACTTAATATTAATTAAACGTTATAATAAAAGACATCATTAAGTCAACAAATTATACCAATTTTTTAAGTGTCAATATAATTATTGACATTTAAAAACATAAAACAGTACTGGACAACGTCCAATGTAACTTGAATTAATACGTCCAAGATAGATGACAGGTGGTAGGAACCCACCAACCTAATCTATCTAGCTAAACACAGTTTTTCACCGCAACCATGCTCCTCCAAAACATAATTCCCAATTTAGCTTTGATTATTTCTCCGCTTGTATATTTTATTTTGTAAAAATTATTTAACTTTTTTTTTAAAAAAAAACTTGCTGAATGAATAGTTTAAAAATATTCAATAATAGTTCCACTTTTCCCACCCCTTGTTTGATGTGGACAATCAACCCAAGTATCATTCTTTTATTATGTATAAATAAGAGTAAAATTGATTTGTTGGAATAAATAAGAAGCTACTCACCCCAAATATTGCTTAAGTTATTGAGTCCCCTTGTCTTCTCTTTCTTTTTAGTTGGGAGATGGAATACAATAAAAAGTGAAATACGAGTTAGTTTAAGTTGATTTGTTGTCAACCTTGTTTGTTTCCTTCCGTATTCAATAATACATTAATTTGATTTTCATTTGGTGTTTATACATGGAAATTGTTGACTTTAAATTTAGTGTCACTGTTACTTGTTTGTCTATAACCTTGTGAGTTCAATACCATTCCACTTGATATTGTGCTACCCATTGTACCTGAACTTCTGTTTTTAATTCCACAAGCAAATACCTGATATAATCATTGTCTCTTGATCAACGATATACAACAATTCTAATATCAAGAGCCCCATTAATTGATTAGTATGTTAAAGACACCACATTTCTTTTTCACGCAGTCACTACTTTAATTCATATCAAAGATGGACAAACAAATTTGACGATGAAATGACTGTATTAGCAAGTGGAACGCATGGGACAAAAGACTGGTATCGAAGGATGACGCATGAAAGGCCAATAAAAAGAAAAAAGAAATGTAAATTCAAATGAAATTTAAACGCATAGACATGATTTGACATTTTGAAATGAGCGGTAACTTTCCAAAAACTGATGGTGTAGAGAGGTGGTCGTTGAAAAGTGGCCAGAAGACCTTACCTTTTCTGGCCGCAGAGGCTGCAAAAGTCTTTGGAGATTTGTGGCCAGAAGCTGCCAAGGCATTTCAGGCTTGTTGAAAACCTGGCTTGCACATGGTTTTGGATGGGTCGTGGGGTTTGTGTTCTAGACTTCTACCATGGGTGTTTTTTAAGAGAAGATATTCGTGGGCAGGAACATTGTGGGCTTCAAATATTTTGGCAACCGTAACTACGAATCGATCACTGCAATGCTGCTCAGCAGCAGTCCAAATCTTGTATCTTAAATACATGTACATTACCCATTTCATTTTAGGGGTTTTAAAAAATTAATTTTTTCATTCAATATGTGGTGCACTTGCATTTGAGATATAAGATTTAGACTAAAAATTGGGCAGCTTAGTATTTTTCCTGCTAATCGCAGGGACGAGTTTATTCAAAAAGGAAATAATCTATCTTTGAAAGGAATATAGGTGTCTCATTAGTTTATTATGCGATTTTTTGTGCTTCTCTGTCTTGAACTTCATACTATCGAGTAATGTACGATAGAAACTATAATTAACATTTCAGTACTTATTCAGAATTATCTTTTAATATGCACTATTTTGAGAATTGATATATAGTAGTTCTGAGCAGATATCATTTTACATTATTTCTTGGAGAAAGGTGTAATAGACGGGAAAAGAAAACTATACGTCTTCTTGGTGTGTTGAATTGCTCGAGTCTTTAACCATAATATCAATTAAGGGGCTGGGACCACTTGGTAAAGAAGCGAATAGACAAGAAGTATTTTAAGTAGACATAATATCATAAGAGCAGTGCCATTGGGACGTAATTTATTAATATAATTTACTGACATAATTTACTGTGATCTTTAGATTCATTGTAGATTTTATCAAAAATTAAAATTTGGTGTTGATCCAATGATTCCTATGAAGCCACATTATTATGTCAGTAAATTAGGTCAAATTTTTAGGTCTAAATAGTATTACTCATATCATAATGGGATGAAACACACATGTATCTAGAAAGAGATATGATACACAATTATGAAAGAATAATGAGATTAAGGGAATAGTTGATGTAAAAGTGTGGATCGACAGTCAATATATGTATATAATAAAATAGGAATGTGTTTGAATTTTATTCCAGTCATATTTTTCTCCTCAAAACTATCTTCAATCACTTACCTCACTCATCATCCTTTTGTCAGACTTAAACGTCAACTCGCATCATTTATTTCTATCATATGTTTAACCATTTATATATTTCTTCTCTAAAAATAACACATCACTCATTTTTATCATATATTTAATTATTTAATATTTGATTAATTTGTAGTTAATATATTTCTAAAAAATTAATATAATTCGAATTTTATATTTTATCAAGGTACGGATTATGTCTAATATATTATATTAATTGAAATAGTGACATTTTTTTTGAATTGAGGGCATGGATTGACACTCAAGGGACAATATGTAACAGAAGTAGGGTTTTATAAGAGGTTTAACTGCTTTACAGTTTTTTAAAGCTTCTTTCGATGTGAAGAAATGCAGTGAAATTGAATTGGGCTAATTAATTTTTAAATTATTAGTTAAAAATATTTTTTTTCTTTCTTTGCATTGGTTTAATATAATTATGAATAATTTAGATAATTAAAAAAGATTTCTTCTGACTTTTCTTTTTTTTTTTTTGAATAATAGAATGAAATTTTTTTAAAAACTTTCTTTTAAATTTTTCATGTTAACTAAATATATACATGAAAATATATTTTATTTTCTTTTCTTTACTTCACTCTCACTTTTCATCATTCTTTTCTTTTTAATCAATCGAACCCAAGAGAATAGCATAAGTTTAGAGGAATAGAGTTTTTCTCAGCCATCTTATTTGAAATTTCTTAACTATCATATTATGAGAATTTTTTTGATAAAGTTTAGAAAATTAGAAGTGGGTAAATGTTTAAATGCCCAAGGTGATTTTGTTTGTGAAAAAAAAAAAAGTGGGGGCGGGAGAAGGGGTGAATTGCAGTGTTTATCCTAACAAATTTTAAAATTCTTACTTTGTACCCTCAAAATTAAGTTTATATATATATATATATATATATATATATATATATATATATATATATATATATATATATATATATATATATATATATACTCAATGTATTAAAAATATTACAATTTAACCCTTCTGTTAACTTTATGTTAGTTTATTTTAACCGTGTTAATGAGTTGACTTTTGACAATAAAAAATAATTGAAACTAACAGAATGACCATATTGATACATTGATGATATAATATGTAAATTTAACTTTTAAGAGTATAAAGTAAAAATCTTGAAATCTGTTCGGATATAAAATACGAAAAACCCAAAAAAACAAAGAAAAATTTTCAAACCCGAGAACAGAACATCCCCGCTTGGTTTTGCAACAGTTCATGTCCCTTTGGTATTTTGAATTCTGAATAGCATGTCTGCTGCGTTACTTCGTTAATGTGGTATTAGACAGTTAAGTTATAATAATAATTCGGTGTAGTCCGAAGTCAATCCACATGGAATGGGTAAATTGAATTATAATGCAACGAAAAACAAGTTTCATAAAAAGTAGAACTGTTTAGAAAGCAATTGTTAAAAAATAAGTTAATGGTAAACAATAATTGAAAAATGACTCTTTAGCTCCGGATCTGGGTTTGCTCAATTTACTTGAATTTACGTAATATTGATTATCTCAATTAATTTTTGACATCAATTTAGTTAACCTGAAAATATTTTTTGAATGAACAAATTAAATTAATTGATTTAAAAAAAAATTAATTGATGATTAATCAATGATATTGATGATTAATCAAATAATTGCATAAAATATCAAATTTTACTGAGAACATTCAATCAATCAAATAAATAAAAGATTTAACATTGATATCAAAATACAAATTACATAAATATAAAGATCTGAATAAATAATTATGAATATGTCAACCCTAATTAAAGAGTACA